AGAAATAGAAACATCAGTGATGAGAGAGAATCATTCATTGGCTGCCTCCTGCACTCCCCCTACTGGGGATCAAGCCCACAATCCAGGCATGTGCCCTTGACCAGAATTGAACCTGGGACCCTTCACATGGCTGACGCTCTATCCACTGAGCAAATGAATAGTAGAGCTGTGAATTCCAGAGTAGGCAGGCTGCTATAAACACATATTTGCATATATTATCTACATGAATGCCCCTTCACTTGAAAAAAAAGATTCCATATATTTTCATTCTATAGATGATTTTATATTTTCAATAATATATACACAAAGAAGATAAAATGTTGTCTAGATATGGCTGCTAGAAAAGAGGCAGATTTGAAATGGAGCAAATGGCTCTACCTAATGGGAAGATAGATCTTTCAAAATGTTAGGTCCAAAAATGTCCCATATGAAAAGGTACATTCTATTCTCATCACCACATTCGGGGTGGGGGGGGGTGGGATGCAAACTCAGACATCTTGAAACAAAATGTTTTTAGTAGGTGCATTTCCATCCATAAAGTGGGCATCTGGTTACCTACAGATGTACATATCTAGATCATCGACTGGGAGATTAATAGATTGTGCCTGTACTTGAGAGTACTTCTAGTTTCAAATACACGTATGTGAGACTAAAAGAAGTTTCAATACATTTTAATACATTGAATACATTTTAAAATTAGTAAATTTCTTTAAAACAACAACTGACTGGTATCTTCACTAGGAACAGTGGCATATCAGAATGACAGTTGAAAATGACAAAGTGGAATATTCTATTTATTTAATCTTGTGTTGCTGACAGTTTAGTAGTATCTTTCAGAAAGGCCAGAAGTCATATCTGGGAAAGTCATTTAAGGCCAGGAAGAATCTAGAAGTTCAGGCAGGCAGAGGTTCAAATTCATGAAGATGAGCTGAGAAGGGTCAAGGTTAAGCAGCAAAAATCAGAAACAGGGGCTGGAAGAAAAATGCCTATCTGGGTGCAACGTTTGGGCAATGTGGAGTTGGGATCACAGACTTTGGGATCCAGTGAGTGGCAGTGGGGAGGACAAGGAGCAGAGAGAAAAGCACACCTGACAGTGCCCCTACTGAGTACAATGAATAAACTTTACAAATGAAAAAGTGTCAAAAAGGCTCCACTCCCTTTTTTGTCTACTCCTACGGACATTGTGTAGGTGATGGACATTAACTGTAACCCATGCATACAAGTTTCCTATAACTGGGCTAAGAGTATTGCTATGTTCAGATTAAAAGAGTGGTTCTGAGTATGCACTGTGCATTTCCTGGTGGGCCCTGTGTTCTCATCTAGGCTCTCATTTCCCATTTGCTCTAACTCCCTGATGGCCTGCCACATGTCATTAGGCAACTCAGCTGCTGCTTTCATTTCTCCAAAAGGTATACAGGGGTTTGGGTGTTGGGTTTTACTTTTTTTCTTCTTAGAGCTAAAGGAAATGGTCTTTTGATAGTTGGGTTTGTTGAGTTGAATACTTAACGGTGTCTTACAGTTTCAATTTCCTTTCTCATAGGTATTTAATCCTGATGACCTTTATTCAGGAGTCAATTTCTCCAAGGTTCTGAGCACTCTTTTAGCTGTTAACAAAGCAACAGAAGGTAAGTAGGAATTGTGATTTATGAGTTCTGGTTGACATGTTTGGATTCACATGTTTCTGAATACCCAAGGAGCCAACTATGGCCAGGACTGTTTGATTGGTGCAAAGTTCTCCCCTTCCACCAAATAAACTTCAATGGGTGTCAAATGCTTTAATTTTTTATGGTTTTAGGATTTATTATTTATTTTATATTGGGGTGACACTGGTTGCAAAAGTTATATAGGTTTCAGGTGCACAATTCCACAACCCATCGTCTGTATGCTGTATTGTGTTCACAAACCAAAGTCAAGTCTCCTTCCATCAGCATTTATTAGTATCCCCATAGTCCATCCTCCAGCTCCTCCCCCCACAATCACCACACTGCTGTTTGTCTATGAGTTCTTTCTCTTTTTTATTTTTTGTTCAATTCCTCCACTCCCCCACCCCCAATAGCTGCCAGCCTAATTTCTATCTGAGTCTGTCTATTTTGCTTGTTCATTTTATTCATTAAATTCCATATATGAGTGAAATCATATGGTACTTGTCTTTCTCTGACTGGCTTATTTCACTTATCATAATGCTCTCCAGGTCCATGATGGTTTATAATTTAAACATACCTATCACAGATGGCATTCTAATGACAAGAATCAAGAAACTATTTCATTCAAAGCTATTGAATAGGCAACTGAGTGTAACAAGACAGAAAAAAAAAAACACGACAAGTAACCTCTTTCATAAAGTTTACAAGACTATAGTTGTTACTTCCCTCTCTCCACTAGAGACATTTTTTCTCATTGTTTTTTGTATGTGTTTGTCCATGTAAAGGAACCCCTCAGGAATCTTGCACTGGAAATGAAACCTCAGATTCATAGTGAGTGAAAGAGTATCTTTTATTTAGATGTTAATACCCACCACATTAGAGGTGTGTGATGATTACCTCAGAGCAGCAACTTTCAATCTTTTTCATCTCATGACACATATAAACTAACTACTAAAATTCTGTGGCACACCAAAAATATATTTTTGCCGATCTGACAAAAAATAGGTGTAATTTAAAAAAAATAGGTGTAATTTTTATTGATTTACAAAAAAATAGTAATTACATACCCTTTTTGTTCGAAAGTGACTTTTAAAAAATCAGGTGCATTCCTATGTTCATAGCAGCACAATTCACCATAGCTAAGATCTGGAAACAGCCTAAGTGCCCATCAGTAGATGAATGGATTAGAAAACTGTGGTACATCTACATGATGGAATACTATGCTGCTCTAAAAAGGAAGGAACTCTTACCATTTGCAACGGCATGGATGGAACTGGAGAGCATTATGCTA